GACTGTCGATCGCGAGAAACAACGTTCTGTCACACCGTACCCAGCTGACACAGGAAATGAAATGGGCGGGAAGGAAATGCTGTCAAGCCTTGCTCCCGGAGAACGCTCCTCTTCCCATCCCACGCAGTAGGATGCAGGGACCTGGCCTGAGTCTACCGTTCTACGTCTGACTATACGAATGCTTCGATCTAGGTATCATCCTTCGAATCGTCCTTCGAAAGGACGAGTATCTTGATGTACATTATCCTGCACAGAAGTTCTTCCTTCACAAGCAAAGAGGACCTCTCTTATCCTCACAGAGACAGCGCGCTTGAGAAGTGTGCCGTCTCGTCCGATGAAGAGCTACCTGAGTCGTTCAACCTCACGCTAAACGGTTTGTTTCGCTCGCCCGGACCTTGCCAGCCGGGACAAATTCCGGACGGCCTTCTCGAAACCTGCAGCTCGTGCTTCTTTTGTTCCCAGTGGTTCCTTTGGTTCCCCCCCCAGGGCCCAACCCAACTCATCCCAAGCAGCGAGACTAGAACAGTTCGAGGCTGAACGTGGCCGGACGGTCCGGTAGCGCACTGGCCCTTTGAGAGACAAGGTGGTAGGTGGTAATACCTTACAAAGTAGGTAAAGACAAGGTGTTATTGAGGTAGTTTCTTCAACCATTTTTACAAGCCTGTGTTGACGAATGAGCTTGTCGGGTACACCACTCCGATCATAGCTCGCACGCACATGCATCGCCATGCGTTCCCCCAACTTACCATGCGTTCGGCTCGCCGTGCCTCCGTAGGAAGCTGACATCATCCCTTGGTTTACACTAACAGCCCTGGCCCTAAGAAATTTTGTTGGGGAGGAGGAGGAGGAGGAGCTCGTTGTCAGCAGCCAGCCGCTGTCAAGAATTGTCTTGCAGTCAGTTAAATGCATCAATGATTCCAAGAAGTTGGTTTGGCAGAGAGCCATTGTACAATATCGAAACCAAAGTTGAGCTCAGAACCCAGAGGCTATTCAAGTTCACCCTCCACGGTAGGCAAGGCAACGAACAGGAACCCTAGATGCCGAAGAGATCGTCAACCTCCCCCTCCCCCCTTTGGCGATGTTCGATTTCCTCAATGAAACAAGCGATGGCCAAGGCCTCTGCCCCTCCCGAGTGATTCCCGTCTGAGCTACCCTTGCCGCACCCACTCTTCCCAAGTTCCCACCCATGCTCATCCTGGCAAAGCCTGGGTTGGACCCTCCCATGCGTCCCCATTTTTTGACCCTCGGGCTTGCGACGGTACCGATGGACGAGACAAGAATTGGAAGCATGCGCTCTTCTTCCTCCACCTCCTTCGCTGCATCCATGTGCCGTTGCCGGTTCCCCTTCAAGACAACACACTACCTTACCCACCGGCAAGCTAACTCGCACACACAAGCCTTTAGAAGTTTAGCCTTGCCTTGACATGCTTGGAGTGACATTGGTCTCCTTCGGGGGGGTTGCCTCTTGCAATAAAATGATACCCGTCCCGCCCCCCTTGCTGGAGGTCTCAGATGCGAACATGTCCCTCTCTGCTCGTTTCCTGTTAACTTTGGCATTCCACCCCTCCTCCCATACATCCCATCAAGCTTGCTTGCCCCCCTCCATCTTCTCTCGAGAGTAGTGAGAGAGAGAGCTGTATGCAGCGTCCCAGTGACCTACCTACCTTGAGAGCTTCGGTTTTAGGTTCCCCGGCGGCTTGCTCAACTCAATTGACCTTTGATTGAATTGCGCCAGTCCAATCCTGTACCTTACATCAAAAGCCATTGGGCTTCTCACGGGGTCTCGTACATAAAAACACCGTAAACAGGACCTCCGCGACTACTACTTTACTGTATCTACGGACCCGTCCCCTCTACGCGCGTAGCCATGCCCAAGCTCCCCTCGCTGGTCCCAGCGGCCCTCGCCAAACCCCTCTACCGCGGCACCGAGCTCGTGAGAGGCGCCGTCGGCAGCCTGACCTGGGGACCGGCCCTATCGGTAGCCAAGCCCGCCATCCTCTCCGTCTTTTCAAAGATTGAGCGCGGCACCCTCCTGCTCGTCGACGAGCCCGCCGAGCTTCGGAGGGTATTTGGCCAGAAGCTGGGCGCAAAGTACAACGAGAACCTCACCAACGGCGACCACGTGCCGCGCCGCGCCGATGCCGTGCCCCGCGTGGAGCTGGTCGTCAAGAGCGATGCGTTCTGGATGCGCCTGTTCTTGTTCGCTGACATGGGGTTCGCCGAGTCGTATATGCTGGGGGAGATTGAGTGCAAGGACTTGACTGCCTTCTTTCAGGTCAGTACACTCGCAAACTAGGGCGGGCCTTATGGTCGTGTAGGGGTGGTGTGGCTAACTTGACACGGCGTCACAGCTCTTCATCGTCAACCGCGAAGAAATGGGCAACGGAACAACCTGGATATCGAGCTTGTCCACCACCGTCTCGAGCCTGGCGCGAACCACAAACACCCTGTCCAACGCCCTCCTCAACATCTCGGCGCACTATGACATCAGCAACGACATGTTCGCCGCCTTCCTGTCGCCGGACATGACCTACTCGTGCCCCATCTGGAAACCGCAAAGCAGCGCCGAAGACCCCAACGAGCCGGAAGAGACGCTGGAGCAGGCGCAAATGACAAAGTTGCACCGCTTCATCGACGGCGCGCGCATCAAGCCGTCGGATCACGTGCTGGAGATTGGCACCGGCTGGGGTTCCTTTGCGATCGAGGCGGTGAAGAAGACGGGCTGCCGCGTGACGAGCTTGACGCTCTCCAAGGAGCAAAAGGCGCTCGCGGAGGAGCGCATCGAGGCCGCGGGGTTCTCTGACCGTATCGACGTCAGGCTTACGGATTACCGAGAGCTAGAGACGCCGGGCAGGCCGTTTGACAAGATTGTGTCCATTGAGATGCTGGAGGCCGTTGGTCAGGAGTTCCTGGCGACGTATTTTGCGCAAATGGACAGGTTGCTGAAGAAGGATGGGGGTATCGCCGTCTTCCAGTGCATTACGATGCCGGAAGGTCGCCATGAGGCGTACTCCAAGGGCGAAGAGTAAGTCGCAAAGCAGAACCCATGAAATAGGGTCGCGTGCTGACAGACTGCAGTTTCATCAACCACTACATCTTCCCGGGAGGTTACCTCCCATCGATCACTCAGCTGTTGAACCACATCAGCAAGGAGTCCAAGGGCACTCTCATTGTCGAAAAGGTGGAGAACATTGGTGGCCACTACTCAAAAACCCTGAGGCTGTGGAAGGAGGAGTTCCTCCGCAACTTTGATTCCAAGATCCGTCCGGCGTTGAAACGTGAGCATGATGACATGACTGAAGAAGAAATAGATGTATTTAGAAGGAAGTGGGAGGTAAGACACGTACCATCATCCCTCTTGTGGTATTTCTAAGCTAATCTGGCCATGCAGTACTACTTCACATACTGCGAAGCCGGGTTCCGAACAAAGACGCTTGGCGACGCGATAATAACCGTTGGGCGCGAGGGTGCTCTGGAGTTGATGGAAGGCATTCCGCTATGAAGAAAGTGGACATAATTGTTGGAGGAGACAAGACCGTGTCATAATTTTGAAGACACGGATGCATGAGGCCCCGGGGCCTTGATGAGATTTAAAGCAGCGTAGAGGGTAAAGACTCATTTCTTTTTCTTGGACTTGTTAGACTTTGGCTTCGAAGATATCGAAGCACCTCCAAATCGAGGAAAGCGGTTGGCGTGATCCACGTCGAATGCGGACTTGTGTTTCCTGAACAAGAGCATCGTCACCCGCGCATCTTCGATACTTGAGTGAGCACCGCCTTGGATGGTGACCTTGAGCAACTCCTCTGCAAGTCTTCTAAGCGCTGGCTTACTGCCGTTGCCGTACTGCCGAAACCCAGGGTGCTTGGCCGTATCGCGAATGTCTTTACTCGGATGACTGAGTTTCAGGCAGTCCAGATCGTGCTTGATATCGTGGGCAACCACTATCCTGTCTTTAAGGAGCGCGGCGACTTCCTTCTGGACCTCGTCGAAGTCCCGGGCAAATCTCATGTGCTTAGGGAGGATCCCGCTCACAGCACTTCGCCAGTCCGTCACCCGGTCTTGGGGCTTCACATACGAATCGTATACTTGGCGTCCGTGAAAGTCAACGATGCTCACACGAGCCAAGACGGACTCGTATCCTCCATCTCCAACACCAACCATTTCGCAGTCGATGGCGATGTACTTGCCCACCTGGATTCCTTCTATGAGACCAGAGTTGATCTTATCCTTTTCGGATCCGAGCATGGAATTGTTCTTCAGCCCGAGACCGTAGGCCTCAGCCAGTGCTTCCGAAGAGATGTCATTGTCTTGGGCCCAGAGAGCGAGTGACGGCGACGGGCCGACCTTGGGTTCGACTTCAACCTTTGAACTTTGTGCAACACCCATGCGTCCGTTCTTTGTTTTTACGGCCTTTGGGGTGTGCGTAGCTGGTCCCGACGTTTTGGAAGCAATCTTCTTCTTTTTGGACTGTTGTTGGTCCGAGGTTGAAGATTCTGCTTTTCTCTTGACACCCCCAGACGTCTTGGCTGGTGTAGTTGAGGAAGAAGACGGGCCTGCCGCTTTGAGTTGTGCCTGGAGCTTCTTCCAATTTGATGACAGCTCAGGGGCCATAGTCTCTGCTTCCGAATGAGATATTTTCGGATATGACCGCTCGTGTATCAGCGAGAGGAAACTATGAGGTGTTTTTCGAAATATGAAAAACGGTAAATGAGAAACTCTTGGATGTAAAGTCAGCGATGAGAGTCGAGCCCAAATGAGAGAAAATGGAAAAATGCACTTATCGAGGTCGGGTGGAGTGGAGTCAGCGCCTGGGCTAGCGCACCTTTCTTGCAAGGGTTCACGGCAATTTCTTCACCGCCTTTGGGCAGTTCGCGCTTTCTGCCACACCACCTTCCTGTTCCTGCAGTAATTCATTCATCTTTTGCGACCGAGAACAGCAAGCCGATTGTCGCATTTTACCAACATCCATCAACTATCAACCACCACATCGAGTATTCATCATGGCGGCACACGGCGCCAATGGCGAGGCCTCTGTCGGCTCCAGTGAGCCCCGACAAAAGGGAAAGGCTACCCCGGAAACAATCAGGTTCGTCATCCCAACACCCCACCATCTCACCCGTATGGCCCCTCATGCGATGTTTCTCAATTAACTCATCGAGCGCAGAGCAGGATGCATCGCCATGGTCAAAAAAGAAGGCATCCCCCGTCGAGCCGAGATTCTTAGCATCAAAGAAACGAAGAGCGGTCGCCAATTTTACTGCAACTTTGACAATTTCAACAAGCGTCTCGACGAATGGGTGCCGACGATCCGAATCGATTTCGACCAAGATGTCGAGTGGCCATTACCCGACAAGGACAAACCGAAAGATCCTAAGACGAAGAAAGGTGTTGCCACGTCAAAAAATAAGGTCTCAAAGAAATCTCAGAAGCGACCTTCGAAGAGGGAGCAATCTGCGCCTTCAGAGGCCGCGACGCCGCACCCATGGACCGAGTTCGTCGAGTCACAGAGCCGTAAGATGACGCCGACGGCCGAGGAGAGCCAAAGCCAGACCCCGGCCACAGCTACGGGCGATGCAACGGCTACCCCCGCAGCTGGAGGCGATGAAATGGAAATTGACCTGGAGGAGGAGGTCCAGAAGAAAGATTTACTCAGTGGCTTCAGCCGAGAAGACGAGATCGAGAAGTTGAGGACACACGGCTCTATGACGCAGAATCCGGCCGAGATCTCCCGAATTCGAAATATCTCCAAGGTCCAGTTTGGAAAGCACGACTTGTTCCCATGGTACTTTTCCCCATACCCTGAAGTATTCAACCAGGAAGATGTTATTTTCATCTGCGAGTTTTGCCTCGGGTACTATGGCGACGAAAAATCCTTTGTTAGGCACAGGCACAAGTGTACTCTGCAGCACCCTCCTGGAAACGAGATCTACCGCGACGAGTCTGTCTCTTTCTTTGAGATTGACGGCAGACGGCAGCGCACCTACTGCCGTAACCTGTGTCTCTTGTCCAAGATGTTCCTTGACCACAAGACACTATACTACGATGTCGACCCCTTCTTGTTCTACGTCATGACGAGTCGAAGCGATAAGGGCTGCCACATTATCGGTTACTTTTCCAAAGAAAAGGAGAGCGCGGACGGATACAACGTAGCTTGTATTTTGACTCTGCCCCAGTACCAGCGCAAAGGTTATGGTCGATTGCTCATCCAGTTCTCGTACGAACTATCAAGGATCGAAGGCAAGCTTGGTTCGCCAGAAAAGCCGCTTTCTGATTTGGGTCTGCTGAGTTATCGGCAATACTGGGGTGAGAACATCTTGGATCTCATTGTGGGTTACAATGAGCGCGATGAGAAGACTACGATTGAAGCCATCTCGACGGCTCTTGCCATAATTCCGCAGGACGTGGAGCACACCTTACAGGCGCTTAAGATGCAGGTGTATCACAAGGGAGAGCACAAGATCGTGATTCCCGAGAAGCTGATCCAGCAGAGGGAGAAGCAGAAGGTGAAGCAGAAGCGATTGATTGACCCGAGCAAGATCCAATGGAAGCCACCAGTATTTACGGCTTCTACGAGAACATGGGGTTGGTAAAAAGGGGGTGTCCCTTAGACTGGTGTCAATGACGAGGCGTTTGAAAAGACATTGATTTTGGAGCATATGATACCCTTACATTTTACCACTACCTAGGAAAGGAATAAGTTTCAGTTGGACCAATGAGTCTTTGAACCAGAACATATTTGTTGAACTTGCTGGTTCCTTGATGTGCCGGTATGATTGCGAAATGCTGCGTGGGGCCAGCGCATTTCCTATCTTTGGGGCCTCCGCATTCGGAGACGACAACCTTGAACTTCACTCTGACATACAACTATAAGTAATCAATACCTTGCAGTCAACCAAGGTCGTCGTTAAATTCCACTAGTGAACCAAAAGCTCGAGCGGAGGTGATGAAGCATCGCGTGACAACTGTATCAAAACACTTTGCTCAATTACCTCACCACCGGCGACCCCTCACATACGACACCCGCATCTCCTCAACTTGCGCGACCAGTGTAAACACTCGCAAGCTGCCACTGAATTTTGATCCACACTCAGCACCTCGACGATCCTTCTTCACCTCGGCAAATTCTCTCTCATCATCAAGCATGAACGCCCCCTTGCACAAGAAGCCAATCAACCTCCTCCGAGGCTGGCCCTCGCCATCCCTCCTCCCAGCCGCAGCCCTCTCCGCCGCGGCCGTAAAGACCCTCGCCGACCCCGCCGCCTACGTCCCGGGGCTCCAGTACGGTCCGGACCCGGGATACCAGCCTCTCCGCGAGTCCATCGCCCGCTGGCTGGCGGCATTTTACCCCGCCGTCGACCCCGCACCTCCGTCTGCCGCGGATGATGCCACCACCACTACTGTCGCCGCCGGCCACCACGCGCCCGATGTCCGGCGCATCTGCGTCACGGGCGGTGCAAGCCAGAATCTGGCTTGTATCCTTCAATCTTTCACTGATCCGCTTTACACGAAGAATGTCTGGATGGTGGCGCCGTGCTACTTTCTCGCCTGCCCCATCTTTGCTGACGCTGGGTTCGACGGACGTCTAAAGGCAGTTCCTGAAGATGATGATGGTATTGATATCGAGTACTTGAGAAAGGGGCTCGAGGCCGCAGGAGAAGGCGGCGATGAGGTGAGCCTTTTCTACGATGGGGCTGTTGCTACAAGCAGCGTCTCCCACCTTCACTTCATCTCATCGTGAAGAGCCTCACCTAATGGTATCAACGATGAGAAGAGAAAAGTCAAGGAATACCAGCTAACATCAAGCAACAGCACTTCAAAGAAGCCAAGAAGAGAAAACTCTACCGCCACATAATCTACCTTGTCCCAACCTGCTCCAACCCAACAGGCAAAACAATGTCCCTCCGCCGTCGCCACGAGCTCGTCCTCCTCGCCCGCAAATACGACGCCCTCCTCGTCTCAGACGATGTCTACGACTTCCTCCAATGGCCCCTCTCCACCCCTCCTCAGCCAGGCTACACCGCCGAAATGCGCATCCCCCGCCTCGTAGACATCGACCGCAGCCTAGGCGTCCCCGACGCCTCCTTCGGCAACGCAGTCTCCAACGGCTCCTTCAGCAAGATCGTCGCGCCCGGCGTGCGCACGGGGTGGGCGGAGGGCAGTCCTGCGTTCGCATACGGGTTATCACAGACGGGGTCAACGTGTAGCGGTGGCGCGCCGAGCCAGTTGGCTGCCATGATGGTCGCGGAGCTGCTTGAGAGCGGGGAGCTGCAGAGGCAGCTTGATCAGGAGACGCGTCCTGCGCTCGCGAGACGACATGGGGCTATGATGCAAGCGATTGCGGAGTACATCCAGAAGCCGCTTGGCGAGGGTGTCGTTGTGCGCGGGTCGGCGTTGAAGGGGGCTGAGGTGTTTGGCGGGTACTTTGTGTGGTTTAGTTTGCCTGAGGGTATGTCGAGTCGGGAGGTTGCTGTGAGGGCTAAGGAGACGGAGAATCTGGTGATTGGGCACGGTGCGCAGTTTGAGGTGCATGGGGATGAGGACGCTGCGAGGTTCGATCGGGAGATTCGATTGTGTTTCTCGTGGGAGCCGGAGGAGGACGTCGTGGAGGGTGTGAAGAGGTTGGGAGCGGTGTTGAAGGCTATGAAGGATGGTGTTAAGTGGAAGTCCTCGAGTACGTTGGATGTAGATAATGTCAAATAAAAGGACAAAAAGTCAGTGTTTTATCCCTTACGACTAAAATTCACGTTGCGAGCTTGACCAATACTGCTTTGATAAGAGGCGCTCGTTCTGTGGTTACCGTGTCACATTGGTATAACTGATAACACTTGATATTTTTATCCTCTGAGAGTCTAGTCGGCCCTGCGTGTGATAAGTAGGCACTCTACATAATTAAAGAAACGTCCCGGGGCGGGAGGGGGGGGGGGGCTCTGAAAAAAAAAGAAACATTCACCTCACTTGATGAGAAGGACTAGAAGGGGCTGTGAGGAAAGTTGTCGTAAGCAAACATGTTTTGAATCTCAGATCTCCTTTCATGTGGCAACCGCTCTCATCGCGTAGAGTCCTTCTACGATATAGGTCCAATGCTATCATTTCGCATCAATGCCTGGTGGGATATATCTCGGACCTCCGAATTGTAACTTCTCATTCTTGGCTCTAGCCGCTATTAGCATATTCAGGTGTATTCCAGGGTGCTGGCAAAGGGCGAGGGACGAGAGATAGTGGTGAGGGCGTTTTCTTCATAGCTTCACTGAGAGTTAGATCAACCACAAGTTACCTAGCGATAAGTCAAACGAGAAACAACTTTCAGGTCCCTTCAGCATATTTCGCAATTACCAGACCTCGGACGTAGGGTTGCTGCAGATTGGCGGCTCCGGTGTATGATCTTGACTTTACATAAAGGATTAAAGTGGTTGCCAAGTGAAAAACAATACGATGAAAGCCTTGAGATGAAAGGACCTGCGTTGGGAGAAGTCTCATCAGACAGCGGTGTTTTTTGCAGAGTATGTGATCAGCAATTGCTTCATCTGCGATGTGGAAAGTTCGTCTGCTAAGCAGAGGGTAAATTCCACGGCTAGGCATAGAAGATCCTTTGAGATGAACGTTGTTCGCTGATTTATTCCTGTTAAATCTATTTAAGGATCACTTATACAACGCGCCTAAGTGAGGACAGGCAGGTACAGACAGATAAAGGCGCAAGTCAAAACGTCTCATACCGGTAGCAAATCAAGCCAGATAAAATGAGAATGAGCAGGCTCTCCATAGCAAAAAAGGTCAGACCCAGGGGCGGTATATTCATAAGCTCATCTTCAAGGACCTACATCCAGAGCTGGAGATAATCCCGTGGGCAGACTTTCAGCCTCGGCCGTTGTGACTGCGTTCGATATATTGGCAAGGCACCTAGTAACTTCACATCTGTAACAATACTGAGCAGCGTTGCGGCTTCGGCATTGTGGCTTCGGTTTGCGATAAGACTGAGTGAATGACATCGAGAGCGCCTCTCCCGCTTCGCTAAGTCTTTTCACCAGCCACAAAACAATTATAAACAAGGTCTTCGGAGAACACGATTCTAGGCTCGTCCCTAGGTAAAAGGGGGCGCAGCGAGATGGGGGGCAAGCAAGCCCTAGAAAGATCTCGTGGAGGCTGGGATTTGAAGGCTTGAAGCACGGAGAACTGGAGACCATCGAAGTGCGGGATATCGTCATCGAGAGTGAGGGGTCCCAAGTCTGGCCTTTGATGTCGGCAGTCTCTCCCTCGATGGGAAGTGGTCGGAAGAGGCGTGTGGCTTGAGACGGGGTCTCATCATTTATGAGGCATTGTGGTAATCTGTGGCGGCGGCGGTGGCCCGGGGTTAAACTCGTTGCGGTATGTCTCTAATGGGTGTATTGAGTCTTGGTCGGTTTGCGGGTTTGCCTCGTTTCTGGAGTTCGGCAGATGCGTATACAATGGAAACTCGATGGTCAAGCTATGGGTCGCGAAGAATTTGTCGGCCATATCGTCCCTCTCCGGGGTAGATAATGGTGTTTTTGGAATTATTGATGGAGGAGAAACGAATTACTCAAGCAATACGTGATTATACATCGCTTTCGCATTACAAGAACACAAGCATTGGAGTCATTCTCGCAACAAGACATTCACCATATCCCTCAAAACAACCTAGGTTATATGATCTGTCTATAAGTAATCACAAAATACTAGAGTTTACCATAATCACGAAGAGAAACAGATGCCAAGACTCCGGGACGGTGGAGAGGGGGCCGCATGTACGACGGACGAACCCGACACCTCGGGTCCCCCACTCCGCGTCCTACCCTGCAAGTTTGCAACCTCCAACGGGGAAGACGGGTGGTGATGGATGCATGGACAGCAGCTTTCGCCGCAACAGCTGTTACCAAACCACCGGGATCCCAACAACGTCACTGCTTCATTTTCATCCTCTAACCCAGATATCATCAAGCTTGCGGGCTTGAGGCTCCAGTAGCTACTTTCCTCTTATTTAGGTCGAAAAGCATAATTTCGCAATCGCTTGTTTCTCTAGTTTCTCTTCCTCGATGTCCGCAAACGGAAATAAAAGCCACCGTACCTGGGAGAGGCTAGACCCGGGCCCCCGATCACCACGTTAGTAGCAAAATAGTCTTTCTTTGATCTTACCATTTTTGCAAACAAGGGAACGATTCACTTCAATCATGAGACATAAACTCAGTTTAATTCTCCGGGGCGGTCGACCCCAGATGAGTCCCCGAGTCCCCCTCTTCCTCCTTTCCCCCTTTCCATATGAGCCGCGAGGATCGAATAAAAAGTGAGCCAAGAGGTGAAGCATCAGAAGACTAGACGCGGGAAACATGTCGTAATGCCTCCTTGAATCGACGACTCCTCTCCTCCGCCTGCAAAGACTGCTCATGGACAACGAGTCCTCCGCATCCATACTGTAGTCGAAATCTACTTGAGCTGTTCTTTCGATGGCGCTTCAATTGGCGGATGGCCTGCCGGACTGTGCCGTGAGTTTGCCTCCCTTCTCTGATACTGGCCTTTGAGGTTCGGGTATGGGGGATACTTCAACGTCATAGGGAGCTGACGATATCCTCTTTGATGCTTCTAGATACCGTGTCTGTCGCAGGCCGTCAACATCACAACATGTGCCGTCACCAACTTGACGACAACATGTCTATGTCAGGATAAGCCCGCCGTCGAGGCCTTTCGCGTCTGTATACGTGCGGTGTGTGACTTGGAGCAGTCTTTACGTGAGATGCCCCCCTCCCCCTCTCACAAGCCATGATGTACCTCAGCTAACAGTGATGCTATCCAGTCGCCAAGAACATCACATGGACAAAGTGCGGGTATCCCTATCACCATCAAATAGGTTCGATAGCCGGCAAAGTATCGCTCGTGATCATCACCGCCGTCTTCGTGCTAGCGAGGATGCTCTCCAAGTTTCTGAGGCTGTCGACGTGGGGGCCGGACGACTTCACGTTGATATTGGGATACGTAAGGGCCCAGCATTCTCTCGGGCAAAGAAGTTTGCCAAACTGTTTTTTACGTGAAGACGAAACGACTAATGTTTTTGTCGTAGTTGTTCTCAATTTCTTTTGCCATTTCCAAGTTTCAAGGTAAGCCTCCCCCTTTTGACACTCGCGATGCGTCGAGACATTCCAATGAAGGATTTCATTTAACAGAATATTAGGGTATCAATTAGGCATCGGTCGAGATATATGGACTCTCTCCTACGATGAGATAACTCGCTTCATGCAAGTAAGACACTTCCCATCACCACCACGCCCCGAATGTTCTACAGCAACAAATATGCCGCAGAAGCTCACCAACCAACTCGAAAACCGGCAGGTCTTCTTCGCCTTCGAAGTAATCTACACCCTCTCCATCTCCGCCCTCAAAGCCTCCATCCTCTTCTTCTACATCCGCGTCTTCAGCATGGTCAGCCGCACCTTCAGCCTCATCCTCTGGCTCACCCAGACCTTCAACTTCTTGTTCTGCCTCGCCTTCACCGTCGCGAACCTGAACCAGTGCCGCCCCTTCAGCAACGCCTGGGAGGCCTGGGACGGCCGCCACCCGGGGTACTGTATTAATGTCTACGCCATGTTCATCGCGCACGCGGCGATCAATATCGCGCTCGATGTGTGGATGTTGGGGTTGCCCGTCACGCAGGTGCTGTGGTTGAATTTGAGAAAGAGGCAAAAGGTGGAGATTGTGGTCATGTTTTCGTTGGGTGTTGTGTGAGTTTGACCCCTTTGGTTGATACCTATATTGTCGCCAACGCCTCATCTTGCAACAGCATCACAATCGTCAGCGCAGTCCGTCTGAAAGTCCTCCTAAGCCTCGAAGGCTTCCAAGACCCAACCTGTAAGCCCTCCCTCCCCCAACGCTGCACCAACTCCTACCTACCTCATCCAACCCCCGCGATGCTAACCCCCTTCTTCCTCGCTACAGACGACGCATTCTACCTCCACATGTGGTCCTACATCGAACTCTCCGTCGGCATCATCGTCGCATGCCTCCCTTCGACCCGCCAAGTCTGGCGCCATCTCGTCCCCAAACTCCTCCGTCTCGTCGGGCTGGGAAGTCCCAAACACCACCACAACCACCACCACGGCCATGAAAGGCCGGGTGACTCAGCAAAGAAGCTTCGCGACATTTTGTTTATGAGTACGAACACAGGAGGTGGTGGAGGGGAAGAGGGAGGTGAGGAGGAGCATTCGTCGTCATCGGCGGGACCTTCAAGTCCGAGTGGATCGTCGACTCGTCGTCAGGAGGTACACTGTAATTTGTAATATATACCCCCCCTTTGTATAGTGACTCGTTGTTTGTTTCTACAGTAGAGTAGAGTTTGGACATCGGCCCCATATTTGGATTATTGGCCTCATTAGGCAATGTTTGGACGTTGAATGTTCTCACCTGGTAATTTTCATCAACCGACAGCGAGGTGATACATGGCCTTGGCAACATTTAGAGCATCCCAAGCAGCTTCGTAAATTCCGTCAGCCCAGGGGGGGCTTAGTAATTACTCATCACAACTTCACAATCAGGACGACATGAATAGAGGCACAAGTGAAAAGCGAGTTTTCATCATTTGTTTGTGTATTTTCTGAACTGCAATTACCCTGGACGTCAACTGCCCTCAAGCAGCTACTGTCTGTCCTTCCGCTGGCAGTGACCGAGTAAACGCTTGTGTAAGAAAAAGACACTCATCCATTTCCGAGTCCTGTAATCTCACCTCCTTTGCACATCAGGTGTTTGTAAAAGACCGCGTTGCCCCCTCCGATACTCCCAGGACACCCGCCAGCCAACCTTCCTTTGACCTCCCGGCCGTTCGTTATGCGTGTCATGGTTATGAATCGTACGAAGAAACACCGGACCTTGGTCAACATGACCAGCGTTCCTCCCCTCTGACTTATGTAGCCGAGCAAAGGGGGTTCTCGTATTGGGTTGGAAGTGTTGTTCAATGGTGGGAAGATGGAGCTCGCGTGTCGTGAGAGTGGAAGAGAAGAAAATTCACCAAAAGACTTCGCTGTCGCTTCCATCCGCCCCATTTGTCCGCGTCTGGGCCAAATTTCCCGGCCGGTCAAGCTCATATACCGACCGACCAAAGCGATTCGATCAAGTCAGGGTCCGTAAAAGTCTGAAAACGCAAGGCGCTCTCTGCGAAGATAATCGATTTTTCGAGATGGTACACACTGCCTACCGCTCGTGGCGGAGCAGTTCGGGCATGCCACAGTAGCAGCATGCGGAACAATATTTGTGCGGTGTTCGTCGGCCGTTGATACTGCCGGCTGCGATTGGTAGTGTATGTTAACCTCAACAAGTCAACAAAGTTGTGTAGGGTTTGAAGTTGTAATGTGGACAGCTCTTAGGCTGCCTGCGTGGGCGTAGTCCTGCGGGACCAGTTCTCGGACCCGCGTCCGCGGTAGCCACCGCGGCCTCCTCGGCTGGGGGGAGGTGTCGAACTGCTTCCTTCACCAGAATACGAAGGCTCCCGTCCCTTGCCGCCACGATGATTCGGGCCCGATCCTCGCTGCCCACCACCACGCCCGCTGGATCGTCGTGGATTGCTTCCCGATCGAGAGAAAGGAAGTGGGACAGTCCTGGCATCACCCATACCGGGAAGAAGAATGCGATAAACGCTGCCGCTAGTAGACATCTCATGGGGGAACCACAGGGAACGAACAGTCTCGACATCGGAAACCCAGAAACGCCTCGGCAGAGGCTTAATCGGGGCGGTAGCAGGTTGCCAAGCAGCCTCCGGAGTCTTATGGGGTAAATGAATGCGTGGAAGCGACCCCATTTCCTGCTCCTCGAAGCATTCCTCTGCCGGCGGCTTTGTAGTGAAAGACTTCACATCGTCTGATACGTTCTGGGTGGCTGAGCGAGGTAGAGAGACGGTAGCCGGATTGTAGTGACCAGAGTAGTCGAGAGCACTTTTAGTGACAGGCTCGACACCAGGTGCCTTTGGCGGAGAGTTTGGCTTTCGACCCGTGAGTAGGTTGTTGATCCTATCTTGCCAATTCTCGTTTCCTGCTGAATCTTGCGACCGCTGGGACACGTGGTTCTGCTGGTGAGGTCCGCGCCCATGAGTTCCTGGACCATCTTTGTAACCGGCTGGGGTTGCCCAAGCAAACGGCCCAGTAGATCTGGGTGCCGCTGACTGCGCCGCCGCAGCTGAAGGTGGTAACTTGACAACGGGATGCGGTCGGGGGAGAGATACGTGAGGGTGCATGGCGTCTCCATCGAAGGCCGGGTGGCCAAGCATATCCGGGGGCGGCGGGGAAGGCGAGTTAGGCCTCGATGGTTCCGCATGAGAAGCTGTGGAATCATGTCTGTTGTCCCTGGGAGGGAAGAATCTAGAGGAGCTTCGAGATTGAGTGGCGGCCGATGGTCCTGTGGGAGGTAGCACAGATGAGTGGTCGACAGACCCAGCAGCGCGAACATCGTGGTGAATAACGTGTGCAGGATCGCGTCTTCCATCTCCAGATGGGCGCCAAGTGTCTTTGATCGTGGCTTGAGCTTGTTCAATAGTGAGCCCGCGCTCCACCAGGCTCCGATCACGCTCGAGGCGCTGCGATCTCTTCTCGTCGAGTACTATCTTGTCGCCTTCCAGAACCGAGTGAGCCCATCTATTTCTCATCTCGTTCACTTCGCGAGCATTACCCGTAGTGGGACGAGCCTGGGTGACCGGTGGAATCTGAACCTGCGCTCGCTGCGCGCTGGGTGGTGCGATGGGTGCTGGGCCCTTTCCTGCTGCTTGAGGCTCTGGCAAACGGCCCAAGTCAGTATTGAAGGTGCCGTTGCCCAGTCCGCGATCATTGTTAGGCGATCCCCAGACGTTACGAGGAGCCTGAGGGCCAGCCGCAGCCGCGCCCCAAGTCGGAAGCCGCTCTTGTTGAGGCGTAGGTGCAACCCATGAGTTGGGCTGCCTTGCCTCCGAGCCACTTGGTCGTCTCGCATGCTCTCCGCCTGCGGTGACGGGTCTTTCGCCGTAAGGCTTGTCCTTGGCGTTGGCGGGAGTTGAAGGGACAGCCGATGTATCGGGACCCGCGGCAGGCGGCTGTGAACCGGCTTCCTGGGCAGTGGAACCGTCTTGTCGAGATTGCGCCTGTGCTGGGGCCGCGTTGGAACTCTCTGGTGAAGCCTCCTTCTTGTCACTTTTGCGTTCTGGGGCTGGCCCCATGGCTTCCAACTTCGCCGCAATGCGCGCTTTCCTCGCAGCTTCCTCACGAGCCTCCTCTTCGCGTCGCCTCTGCATTGCCAATTCGCGTTTCTCACGCATGACCTTCTTCTGCATCTCGAGATCCTCCTCCAATCGCGCCATCGGTGGCGGTGGGGCTGGTCTTCCGTCTGTCTGAGGGCCAGCTGAGTGTAGGGTGGCATGGTTGGTTCCGGGGGATGGTCGAGGTTGCCACTGCTGGTTGCCGTGCATCCGAGGACCATGTTGTAAGCCCGAAGGCGAAAAGTTCCGCGGGGACATGGGACTTTCAACCGAGCCAGCCATAGAGCCCCTACGAGCACTCAGCAGGTCCTGGGGAGGACCCGGAAGCTCATGTCCCTTGCCTGGCCGTTGCAAGTAAGATCCGCTACCACCGCTAGCAACAGAAGATCCACGGCGCCTACCCATGGGACCGTCGGGCACAGAGTTCCTGCTCGTTTGGAAAGCGGCAGAGGGCTCCGGATGATCGGATTGGGACGGGCGTTGTAACACTGCCGGCTGCCTAGGATGGACGTCAGATCGGAAGGAGCCTCTTCGATCGGCCGGGACCGGCTCATATCGCCCAGATTGCGAGTTAAACAGTTCTCGGTTTCCGCCCGGAGGACCACCTTCTCTCCAAGCTGATCGGTTGAAGTCATCAGCAGCAATCTCCTTGGCATGGTAGGGCGGAACGTTATTATTAGTCGCGTGGTCTCTCGGGGGGTATCTCGCGCCTTGCTGAGGAGCAGGCGGCCCGGCGATGACTGGCGGAGGAGCCTTCTCGACGGGGGGCAGAGGTGCCCAGGGCGATTTCACTGGCGTCGGAGGTGCAGGTGGTTTGGCGACGAGCGTAGGCTTTTCGGCAGACCCAGCCTTGAGGATGAGCCCTTTGCCAGATGCAAGCCCGCCAGTCTTAATCGAGGGCGAAGCGGTGGTTCGAGGCGGTGGTACAGGAGATTTCGGTTTCTCCAAGACCTTCTCTTTCGGTGGCGCAGGAGTCGGCTCGGGCGGCGGCGGCGGCGCAGGTACTTCGTCGGGATGCGGGAGGGTGGTCTTGGTACCATCGGTCCAGGTGATGGTCTCGGGGGCCCAGTCGTCGTCGTCGTCTTCTATATCTGCCCAATTTCCCTGTGCCGACTGTCCGCTTTCGGGGGCAAGACGGCTTGCCATATGGATACCATACTTCTTAAGTTCTTCATCCGTAAGCTTTTTGGGTTCCGGGGTAGGGACAGCTGAGGTTCGTTATATTAGCACATGAGCGCAACCACCCTCAAAGACCTAGTAGTCGCCTTACGTCGATTCTTGTTCCATACTGCGCTGGGGTCAGGGCCGGCGGCAGGCTTGGCGCCGTTGGCAGCCGCTTTGAGTCCTGGTGAAGAACCTGTGCCAGTGCCCGACTTTGCGACTAGCCTCGGCCGTGAAGACAGAGTCGAGGTTCCTGATGGCGAGGAGCTCAGGATCGAGGTCGAATTCGTCTTTTCGCCGGGTTTGGTCGCCGAGGAAATGGTAGGGCCCTTTGATGCTAGGAAGGTCTTGTTGACCGAGACAGCCTTGAAGGTTGCGGGCTTCTTGACAGCCGACGACGTCCTGCCGTGTCCCTTTTCTCCATCTCGAGCCGCCCGTGATGCCTCCGTATCCGACCCTCCACTAACACTAACATCTGCTGAATTGAGTTGATCTTCGACACCGGTGATGTGCTTATTCTCTAAGTCATCGACGGCGGGACTACCGTTCAGTTTCGCGCGATTTGGACCGACATTTTGGGAGTCGATGTCAGCGTCGTTAGTCTGTTCGGCGGAGGGTTCCGAAAGGATCCTAGGTTAGCCAAAGGGCAAGCGACAGAGTGAAGGGTGAGGTTCGCATGGGGTGGAATGACGAATGAAGACGAGTGAAGAGGGGACGCGGGGATCATCCGGCGATGGGGCAGGGCGCCAGCGGTGTGAGGCTGGGGCTGCTGGGGAGGAGGGGAAAAGAGGGAACTCACGAGCTTGGGGTCAGAATGGACAGAAGCATCAACGGGGGCGGCGAGGGTGGCTTCAGTTGCCATCATACGTCGTCGGATGTTCTGCGCTGGAAGAGCGAGGTTTGGCTTTTCCGAGCTCGAGTCACTAGAAGGACTTGTTCTGGATGTGTGGGTGTGTAAGATCGTTGAAGGCCGAGATGGTGGTGGTTGGTGGTTGGTCGGATTTGGTGATGGAGTACTAGGTATGTATGGGCCGGGGGGAGCGACGAGTCGCAGAAATCGAGCGGTTTCGTGTATTCGAATCGCGGGGCGAATGCGATCGTGGGAGTCGCGGATTCGGATAGTTCCCCTACCAGCAAGACGTACGTCGTCGGCTTCGTCGTCGGCGTCGTCGAGGTATAGCGTCCGAAGGGGAGGGTTGGAAGGGAAAAGAGGAAAAAAAAAAAGGAGCGCTGGGCTGATGGGGGTGAGGTGGTGGTAGAGAAGGGCACACCTATGCGGCTGTGATGGTTGTGAGGTCGATTTTCCTTAGAGAAGCTGCAGTCGCCTAATCAGGGATTAGCGTGCGGCAGCAGGCAGGGGGAGCAGCCAAAGTTGCTCAGTGTCTCCAGCGCTGTGTGCTGTCCACCTGTCCAGTCACTGTAGTGCTGCTCCAGTGCTCAGTCGCTGTCCACTGCGAGGGGAGAGAGGCAGGCAAGGTGAGGGAAAACAGTGGGGACGCGATGGGTACCTGCCCGCCAACGTGGTCACTGGGTGCCCAAGAAGGCTGTGACAGTGTGTCAGCCTCGTGCACTGTGGCCTTCAAACACTGTGTTTTGGTCATGGCTCAGCTCGGCCTAGTGCGGAAAGCGCTGGCTTTGCGGGCTGGGGAAGGCAACGCCGGCGGGAGGAAACAACGCGGGATCCCCCGACATCCCAATGGGCTATTCTTGGATCCAGTGTGCCAGTGCATTGATGAGCGCCTCTCCGTCTGAGCATTCATGGACGCACTTCTCTGACTGACAGTTGTTTTATCTGTCTGTAATACTGATTGAAACTAATGGCATTCTCGTTGCTTTGAGACTAACTTCGAATTATCTTAACAATCGTAAGGCAGACAGCACCTGGCAAACCAAACTCAATGGTGGCCTCATATTCATTACTGATCGGTGTCGCCCGTGTCTTCTCTTCTCGAGTGTATACATTACATCACATCACATCGGGTTTCTTGGGAAGTTTGAGCCGGATGAGCATTACGCAATACCACTCAGTTAATCTTTAGACTAGCTGAAACAAACTCTCGGCTCGACTTGTCAGCGGCTCTACAAAAGACCGAGAACGAGAACATCCCAGGCCATCCTCTTTTTGTTCATGTCTTTTCATCAGACCGCGCTTTTCTCTCTGTCCATTTCACATTCGAGGGAGGAATACACGCTGGACACGAAAAAGGAAATTTGCCGAGGAGCCTCCTCCTGGAGAATAGGTTCTAATTCTTATATACACGGTCCCAATGCCATTACACAGCCAGAGGCTGGACTACAACCAGATGGGAGTCGCTTAGTGAGCATTGTTCTTGTGGTGGCCTGTCAATCGTTAGCATCACATCGCCGAACCGCTCCCCGTCTTATTCGTCGTTCTGGTATTTTATCTGAAGTATCACGTTGAAGGGTTTTGACGTACGGAGGTGGAAGTAGTAGTTCTGAGCGTAGCCGATGACGAGGAGGAAGCCAAGGGCGTGGATGATGGCTACACAACAACAGTCAGTCTTCTGTCCCATGCCGGACCTTCGTCCGCAATTAAAGGGGCAACATACGCTTCGCAGAGGCGTTCTTGCCGCTGAAGTGCTTGGCGGCGTAACGGCCGAGGATGCCAGTGGGCTTAGCCTCGGGGGCGGCACCACGGGGGAGCTTCTCGTAGAAGTTGACAACGCGCTGCATGCGAACTGCGTTGGGGTCCGCGCCAAGGGCCTGTCCGAGTTCGTCATGTTAGCCCTTTTTTTCTGTGATCCGTATTGCATCTCGTTGTTGATGTTGTTATTGAGAAAATCCGTAGCTCCGAGTAGCTCCGTCCTTGTCGCTCCTCCGTATCCCGCGCCCGAACCTCCGAATTCACCGGGTAACCTTTTCCCATCCAAACCTCGCATCCATCACAAAAACAGAAGAAAAACGTGAGTCGGGATCATAATCGTACCTTGGGAGAGGCGACCTGTGTGCATCAATGTCAGCATACTTCTCCGGGTTCGATAGCAGAGCTGCCGGTCGTCGGCCGGACAGAGGGAGATGAGCGCACCTTGGGGGGGATGAGGGTCGAGAGACCGCGGCGGGGGACGAAGCTCATGGTGACTTTGGGGTATCGAAGAATCGGGAGGGTCGCTCGGCGCAAACGGTCAATTGAGCGGATCAATTGACTTTATCGATTTCGACGTGGAGGGGAGGAAGGCTGATGGCTATGATAGACGAGGGTGACGCTCCGTTTGCCGAAAGTGAGGTTTGAACGAAAAGCACTCGTTTCTTTCGGGTCAAGGTTCTTGCGGCGGCCAATCAGCGCGCCCCAATCCGGGCCACCCCCCAAGCAAGGCAAGGCCCTTCCGCCTTGTCCAGTGCCGTACCATCAACCACCACCCATTATCGCATTCCCAGACTACCCAATTCGTCCCACGACGACAATTGAAGGGAAGCCAACACCCATCTCCCACACGTCGCAATGGCATCCCTCCGCGCCTACAACGCAGCTCGCCTGCTGCGGAGCGCCGCTCCCTTCCGAGCTTCCGTCTCCGCGTTCGTAACCGCTCGCCGATTCGAGAGCCAGCTCACGACCGGCACCACGACACAGCAGCCCGCCGCCGTGGCCCCCTCGACCGAGCAGAACGAGCCCGACTACAGCATCGCCGCCGATAAGGCCACCTCGTAAGGACGCAAAGCTCTTGGGAGGGATTATTGCATGAGTTTGCAATTGGGTTGGGCAAACATAACAAAGTGCTAATTGGGTTGTGTTCTCGCAGGACCTTCACCCCGACCCCCAAGAAGCTCCAAAACGGCAGCGAAGACGTCCCCTTCATCCAAGCCGCCGTCATCTCCGGTGCCCCCATGGAGCTCCAGGCTCGCACAGTCCGGTACGCATAGCCTTGATCTCAGACGACAGAGAAAGACAGAAAAGAAAAGAAAATCGCAAAAGCTAACGACGGAAACCCTCACAGCATCTACCAGGAATCCAAGCCCGCAACGCAATCAGGCAACTGGCAAGGCCACCACTGGCGCATGGACTGGGACATCCTCTCCAAGGGCCACCGCTGGGAGAACCCGCTCATGGGCTGGCAGTCGTCGGCCGACATGATGCAGGGCACCAAACTCAACTTCAAGTCCAAGGAGGACGCCATCCACTTTGCAGAGAAGCAAGGGTACGAGTACTTTGTCCAGGAGCCGCAGTCGAGGCGGATCAAGCCCAAGGCGTACGCCAACAACTTTTTGTACTCGCCCAAGAAGCTTAAGCACATCCGGACCAAGTAGAGAGGGACAGAGTGGGAGCGATATTGTTGTACGGAGTATCACTTGTATATAAAACTTTCAAAAGACCGTTTGTACCCCATGGTAGACCTGAGACCTGATGAGGAGAGGGGTTTTGGCAAAGAAAGCAATAAAAAATTGAAACAGAACCGGATTTCAACGTGACTTTGATATTGAAGCTGGGTTCCTCGATGAACATACGGGAAACTCAGTATGCTGAGCTGTAATCGGACTTTCTCCAACCGTGATTGGCTCGAAAGTCTCCACTCGTACCATGACCTCCATTCCATCTACCTTGCGGCAAGATAGATTCTACTGCGAAGGTACCTAGGTATTATGGGTTATTGATAGTCACAAAGAGACCAGAGACGGCCGGCCATTTTCTCACGGAACATTTCACGAGAGGGGTATAGTATAGAGTTCGCAATTGCCGTGATGGCTTCTATTCCTTTATCGGTCATCTGTTGACCCCATGTCGTGAACCATTAAAAATGTATGTACCATAATCACTCATTCAGTCGTAACCGAATGAATGGTGTAACGCCTCCAAGATTTGCCAATCCTGGCCCGTATCCCAAAGTCAAACCCTGCTTGCTCTTAACTCCATGCGCTATTCCCTAGCCATCATGTTCCCCCTCATAATATTCCACGATCAACTCAACCAAGCGGCGGTCTTTAGCATCGTCAGCGATATGGGCCACGCCATCGTGATAACTCTCCGCTCCCAGGATGCGATTCTATTCCTCGACCTGGGAGGTAATCGGTCTGTGAAGGAGATACCGATCAAGATCGTTTGTTTCTCGCCCATGGCCTTCATTCAACGGGCCCTCTTGCAGTGGATCATAATTCTCCTTGTCGCTGCTGTAGCCCTCAAGACTGTTGCTCTACGAGAGCATCATTGGGTCGTGCCCGTCACTCTCGTCTCCATTCAAGCCGAGACCAATTCTCTCAGGGAGGGGCTTCTTCTCCGCTCTCGCAGCAGACTCAGCCCAAGCCCTCATCTTGACCAGCTGTCGGATCGCGGCTTCCCTACGCTCCGATTGACGCTGCAAGATGGCCTTGTTGACATCATCTGCAACATCCCGTCTCAGGTCTGGATGCAAAATGGCTGCCAACTGCGGCTCGAGATCGTTGTGCGGGAACACCAACAGCGCCATCGTCTCTTCCAGGTCTTTGAGGAAGCGTGAGTCGGTCGGTGCACGCGGTCCAAGATGGTTCGTGGCGAATGACAAGGCAGGAGTGATATCCCCACCAGGTGTGTTTGTGCACGCCCGAATGAGCTCCACAAGTTGAAGGCGAAGCAGCGCGAAGTGCAAGGTTGGATCGCGGTCCAGAATCTAGATGACTTGTTAGAACATGTGTACAAAGCAGAAACATGCTGACAAGTAGTGTATAAGGCGAAAGCTCATCAAAAAGTGGTTGTTCCTCATCAAAGTGTCCCGAAGGTGCTATGAGTGGTGCATGATAACTCGATGTCTAATCACTGCGACTGGGGTTTAATGTTGCGGAGAGTAAACAACTAACCTCTGAGTCAAAGTCATTCAGAGCCTCAATGGCGTACTGAATGCTTCCAGTATGAATGGACTTTTGAATCTGCTGGCGGACCTTGATCGTCTCGTCGACTTGGTGGGGCTGGAGGTTGGCTTCCTTGCTGAATTTTGCGGCAGCGTTAGGATAGCCTTCCATTGTCAAGTAATCGAGGATCAGGGCGTTGATGTCGCTGAGAGTCCATGTTAGCACAGATGTCCTCTTGGCTGTAGTTTGAACAACGTAAAAATGTGCAAAACAGCAAAAGTGTCAGGGTTATTTTATATCGAGTTCTCCGCATGGTAATTGCTAGGAGAGATTCCCATTTGATAGTTGATCATCATGTGAGCTGGGAGGGGAGGGGGAAGCGCCGGGCTTCGACGTGGAAGATGACAAGAGAGAGGAGCTTACCTTTTGGGCGACTTGACGTCCTGAACACGCCTCTCGAAGGCATGCTTCATGGGTGTAGCAGTCGACGCAGACGAAGTCTGGATGACATCTTAGCTAGCTGTCAAAGACAACCAAAACGGCGTGGCCAGCATGGATGTACACACTGGCACACTGGCACACGGGGAGCTCAACGGACCATGATTCTCTCCAACGTCTCCCGCACGAGACGCGCAGCAGCTCTATTCCAAACTGCTATGGCTGTTGGGTCGTTGATGTCCGGCAGTCCTGACATGCGATGGAAAGTGCGCAAATGCAGGGAAAGCAAGGCAAGATCAGACAGGCTCTGGGCTGGGCCGTCGTCACATTTGAGTGGCCAGTCGAGCTCCCGTTCGTTTTGTCACGCGAAGGAAGTCTTTGAAAGAAAAAGATGCTGAGGAAGAACTGGGATTGGATGTGGAAGAAGGAAGAAACGTCAGAACAAAGAGAAAGAGGCTGGAGCGGAGCTTTATTTGGTTCCAGAGTTTGCGGCTGCAGAGGGCCAATCGCAGGATCAGCCGGACCGCCTGGCGTGGGGCAGCCATAATTAGGTAATCCGAGGCACATGCCCTCTCTACCCAAGGCAAGGTACCTTACTTTCAAGGTAAGGCAGGTAAGGCGCTGAGAGCAGCCACGCAGCCCGGGGGGCCACAACTGGGGTTGAACAGGGCAAAAAAAAACACAGGGCGCGACCCACCAGAAGCACAAGAGAGGCAGGTACCAGAGCTAATACCACCTGACCGCCCTTACCTGTACGAAGTGATGAACCGCAACTACGCATCGTGCCTGCGGGCTGCTGTCCTGCGTAGGCACAGCTGCGGTCATCTGGACCCTGTGTATTTGTGCGCCCACCTGTGTGAGCCCAGCCCGCTATTGGATCGTTCACTTCTACAAGAGATGTTCCGTTGGAGAACCGGACTTGATGCTTTGAGGAAAGATAGCACGCGAGCACAGCCTCTCTCTTTTGATCAGGCTGTTTTAACTTGTCTCTAACATTTCCAAGATGTACAGTCCACCTTCCCTATAGAAACAGCAAAAGGCAACTTCCCCTCTCGTGGCTCCCGTCTGATCAGCAAGCTTTGTGGCAGGTACCTTCCATTCGGTTACCTTCAACATCAGATCTAGCCCGGCCAGCTCCACCATACACCGGGCTTAGGTTGTCAAAGTCAAGCACCCATCCCCCTCAGCGCTTATCTCTGGGGACTGGACCCTGGAAGTCGCCTTTTAGCCAGTGTTTTCATTTTTATATCCTCAGATTTCATCTCTGCTTCTTCCCCCCTTCCATTGCGAAGGGAGCAGACATCAAAGCCGTCGACACCTGCAGTCTCTGTTTCTCAGGTCGTTGGTTGTTCTGTCCACCGGCCTATCTCACTTCGCTGCAGAATCCGAGGACAAAGCTGTAGCTACCCGATAAACCACCACCAACCTGCCCCGCGCATCGACGTCGGCGACCTCCGCCTCTCAGCTCAAAGAATGGCAGACAACCACAGCGGCACCGAGTCTCATGTGACGATCCAGCGGCGGACTCACTACTCACCACCGTGGGCAGATGTCAGCATCATTGGTATTGCTGGCAGTTCCGGCTCTGGAAAGTCGACTCTGTCGCACGCCATTGTGAGGAAGCTGAATCTGCCCTGGGTGGTGATTTTGTCCATGGTATGTGTGCATTTACCCCGCCAACCGGCGGCTTGCGGCGATGGCCCCTCCCCTGACTCGATCTGAATATAGGACTCTTTCTACAACCCCCTGAGTCCTGAGGAGTCAAAGAGGGCTTTTGACAACGACTTTGACTTTGACGCGCCAGATGTAAGATATATGCCGATAGTACTGCTGGCATGCATGTTGACCAAATTCAGGCAATTGACTTTAACGTACTTGTACAATGTTTGCGCGATCTGAAGGCTGGGTAAGTCTTGTAACATCTTCGCTTTCTAATTTGCTTCATGAAACTCTTCTTCTAGTCTGAAGGCGAGCATTTCAGACATCAATGTTTGATTTTATGATAATAATTGGTTTCAGAAAACGGGCTGAAATTCCCATTTACTCCTTCTCTAAGCATCAAAGGTTGGACAATACCACAACCATCTACTCACCTCACGTCATCATCCTGGAAGGAATCTTTGCCCTCCATGACCCCCGTATTATTGATCTTCTGGATATGAGGGTATTTCAATCCCGTCAAATCGAACCGCGATCAACTTCTGACTGTTGCTCAGATATTCTGCGAGGCGGATGCCGATACGTGTTTGTCACGGAGAGGTAAGTCGCAGGCAGCCCGGGATGTGATGTACTTAGTGCACAGCTGACCTTGCAACGTAAAGTGTTGAGAGACGTCAAGGAGCGTGGCCGTGACGTAGATGGTATCATGAAGCAGTGGTTCAAGTTTGTGAAACCAAACTTTGAAAAAGTAAAGAGCTCCATCATCAAATCGTGTTGGACTTTCCTAACATGTCTGTGTCCAGTTCGTCGAGCCGCAGCGCAAAGTCGCAGGTAAACTAGCCGAGCCGCTTCAGATGCTTCGTAGAGACTGATCGCAAGTAGACATCATCGTGCCGAGAGGTATCGAGAACCGCGTAGCTATGGGTAAGCATATCATCATGTCAGTACAGCTTCATAACTAATACCTAGTCTAGCCATGGTTGTTCAGTACATTGAGCGCAAGTTGATCGAAAAGTCAACCCACCACCGGGCAGCACTCACGCAGTTGGAGTTGGCTGCTGCCAGTGACCCTCTGTCTGACAGAGTCGTGATTCTCGACCAGTCACCGCAACTGAGAGGCATGAGCACCATCATCCAGGATATCGACACCTCTGCGGAAGACTTTATCTTCTACTTTGACCGCCTCGCGTGTCTTCTGATCGAGCAGTGAGTAGACTGCCTGCTGGGTGAACGTCTGAATGACGGGCTAACAACCACAGGGCACTCAACAATGTCCAATTCAGAGAAAAGACCATTGCCACGCCGCAAGGATACAAGTACAACGGACTCCAAGCTACGGGCGATGTAAGTGCGGTGCTGGTCCTTCGTGGCGGTGCCGCCTTTGAGACGGCCTTGAAGAGGGTCGTCCCCGACATGCGGACAGGCAGAATCCTGATCCAGTCCAACGTCCGGACGGGAGAGCCCGAGCTGCATTATCTCAAGCTCCCGGATAACATTGACTCTCACGAGTCGGTGTTGTTGATTGACACGCAGATGGCCAGCGGAGGCGCCGCACTCATGGCTGTGCAAGTGCTCGTCGACCACGGCGTTGCCCAGGACAAGATTGTGCTGGCGTGCTATGCTGCCGGAAGACTGGGTGTACACCGTCTTGCAAAGGTGTTTCCTGGTATCACTATTGTTCTGTGCAACATGCTCGCAGATATTGAGGATCGCTGGGTTGAGAAGAAGTACTTCCGATGCTAGCCGTAGGCATATATATACTTGTATAACCCGGCCGAGTTGCGCCGAGCCTGCCTCTGTAGCAAAATCGATGAGTGCCCAAGTGGCAATAGGAAAGATCCTATTGCAAAAGTGCATCGTAATGCCATGGAGTAAGGCTGCTTGATTCATGAGATTTGAGGGTCCTCAAGGGCTGGAACCCGTCCCTCTGGAAAAGGCCGCATGCTCGCCTGCCAGACAGCCTGGAAGATCCATTGCCTCGCATATATGTCTCTCGCGGCTCGCCTTGTTCGCACTCTGGCACTCTGGACGGATACCGGATTCACGGCTGCGATTCTCGTCATTGGCTCCAAATGCGGCTATAAATTGGCCGAACGAGACACCGAGAAGTGGACATGGTGGTGGAGACGTACGGCTCCCGCGGCAGGGGGTCTTTGGACGCCGCTGACTGAGATCACAGTTTCTCGCTAGATGAGTATTCAGACTTCAGGCCGAGAAAGGACCCTTTTTTAGTTGGTCCTCTTTAAAAGGATCTTATCAGCTCGGACGACCGTGAGATCGCGGCGCCGACAACGGAACTGAGGTGTTGGGACGAAAGTCCGAGATTCGTCGTCGGTGACGGCGATAATGCGGTCGGATGCTGCTTTTTTGTAAAGATTTTTTTTTTTCTTGCCTGCTCGCGTGATGCATCAGAGAACTCGTCCAAAAGGTTAGTGGTCAGTCTATCCGTAGACAAGTAGACCAAGACACCTTGGAGATTATTCTGGCCTATCTGGTGTAATTGCATGGGAGGCAACCTTTGGCTTAACCGAACAATGACGTACTTGCTGGAGCTGTCGGCACAAGGTACGTCCTCCCGTCTACGTAGCTACGTAGTGCGGTGTAAGGTACCTTAGCTTCCTCGGATTTGACGGTTCTGGCGCGAACAGTACCTTAGTACAAGCATCATTACGCATACGTCCAGGGAGCTATGCCCGCCAGCCCCTAGGAACCTTTTCATTTTCGTGACCATTACGACCTTGATTTTCTCTTTCTTGGAAAAATCCAACAACCTCAACTCTCTCTGGTTACCTCTGTCTCTTGCTGCTTCTTTGCAATTGATACATCGCGACACATCTCTAGAGCTCTCTGCTTGCTCCCATTCACTCGTTTCGACATGACATCTCCATACTGCTAGATCTACCTTTACTCTATCACGACGTCAGACGAAAAAAACACCAGACTAATCTGCGATAATTAAATGCCTCCCACCACATCCGCGCTGAGGCGCATACCTCGCGCCGTTTCTCACACATCACCCATCAGCTTGTTCAAACCTACGCCGATATGCAGGCAACAGGTCGCCACCCTCGCGCAAAGGCGCGCCTTTATTAGCCCTCCTCCCCAGCGATCCCGGACAACACCTTCTACCACACCTCTTGCCAACTTCTTCTTCAACGCCCACGGTCTGCCCAAAGGCACCGCCATCCGATCGGTCTCCGGCGCGCCGCCGCCGGCCCCTACTCCGAAACAAAGGTCACGACTCCTCCGCTTCGCGTACGCCAGCGCCGCATGGCTCGGCGGCGGCATCATCTTTGTCGGCCTCGGCGTGGTTGGCTTCTTCATCTACGATGCCTCCACTTACAAGGAACACCCGGACCAGAACGAAATCGAGGTATCTGAGCTGGCACTGAGCCCCAAGCGAGGCGGACCAAAGAACCTGCCCATCGCAGAGGTGCTGATTGACGACCTGGACAACGAACACATGAAGAGCGCAAAGGAGAAGCCCAAGCTTGTTATTCTCGGCGGCGGATGGGGCGGAGTGGCTCTACTCAAGGAGCTCAACCCCGACGAATACCACGTTACTGTTGTGTCCCCGACAAACTACTTCTTGTTCACGCCCATGCTGCCCTCTGCCACTGTTGGAACCCTGGAACTGAGATCACTGGTCGAACCCGTCCGCCGAATCCTCGCCCGCGTTCACGGTCACTTCATCCGCGCCAAGGCCGAGGACGTCGAGTTCTCCCACAAGCTGATTGAGTGCTCTCAACCCGACGCCTTTGGCAACGAAACACGATTCTATGTCCCCTACGATAAGCTGGTCATCGCCGTTGGATCTACCACGAACCCCCACGGCGTCAAGGGACTGGAGAACGCCCACTTCCTCAAGGACATCAGCGATGCGCGCAAGGTTAGAAACCAAGTCATGCACAACCTCGAACAAGCCTGCCTGCCGACGACCGCCGACGAGGAGCGCAAGCGTCTCTTGTCCTTTGTCGTCAGCGGTGGCGGGCCCACGGGTGTCGAGTTCGCGGCCGAGCTGTTTGACATGCTCAACGAGGACCTGACACTTCACTTCCCCAAGCTCCTCCGCAACGAGATCTCCGTCCACCTGATTCAGAGCCGCAGCCACATCCTCAACACCTACGACGAGACTCTCTCCAAGTACGCAGAGGAGCATTTCGCCCGCGACCAGGTTGACATTCTCACAAATTCCCGCGTCAAGGAGGTCCACCCGGACAAAATCACCTTCACCCAAAAGCAGCCCGACGGATCTCTCCTCACCAAGGAACTTCCCATGGGCTTCTGCCTCTGGTCAACGGGCGTCGCCCAAGCCGACCTCTGCAAGCGCCTCTCCTCCAAGCTCGGCCCCTCGCAGACGAACCGCCACGCCCTCGAGACGGACACCCACCTCCGCCTAAACGGAACCCCCCTCGGCGACGTCTACGCCATCGGCGACTGCTCGACAGTCCAAAACAACGTGGCCGACCACATCATCACCTTCTGCCGCGGCCTGGCCTTCAAGCACGGCAAGGACCCCGAGACCCTCGAGCTCCACTTCAGCGACTGGTGCGAGGTCGCCAACGACGTGAAGCGCCGCTTCCCCCAGGCCGTCGGCCACCTGAAGCGCCTCGACAAGCTCTTTGAGCAGTTCGACAAGGACCAGTCCGGCACCCTCGGCTTCGGCGAGCTCAGGGAGCTCCTCAAGCAGATCGACTCCAAGCTCACGTCCCTCCCCGCCACGGCGCAGCGCGCCCACCAGCAGGGCCAGTACCTCGCGCACAAGTTCAACAAGATGGCGCGCACGTCGGACGGGCTGAAGGCCAACATGGTCCTCGACGGCGACATCGACTCGGTGGTGTACAAGGCGTTCGAGTACCGCCACTTGGGCAGTCTCGCGTACATTGGCAACTCGGCCGTCTTCGACTGGGGCCAGGGGTGGAATTTCGCAGGTGGTTTGTGGGCTGTGTACATGTGGCGGTCCGTCTACTTTGCGCAGAGCGTGAGCTTGAGGACGCGGATCTTGCTGGCCATGGACTGGGCCAAGCGCGGTCTCTTTGGAAGAGGTATGTTTTTGTCCCCCATCGATTTACTCTTGCCGTTGGGCTTGAAGCGGTTGATAACTAACAGCGTGGTTTTACAGATTTGATGAGCTACTAGAAAGCAATGACGCTTTTTTCGTTGCAAAGAATGATTTTGATTTCTTTCTCTTTTGTTAGCATACCCTGCCGGAGTACGAGGTACTGAAGTGCAAATCTTGCGAGAGATGGATGCATGAGTATAGAACTTACACAACACAGACAGAAGAAAAGAAAAGAAGAAAGGACATAAAAAGAGATACGTAGACGGTCTCCAGATAATTTCACATGATTGTTCAAAGCACCGTACCTTGCAAAATGTTGTACCCGATAACTTGTTGCGCCGTCTCAAGTCTTCGAGTTTAGCTTGCACCCAATTACGGTAACATACATGGAAACATAGACAGACAGAATATGTGAAAGGAACAGCCTTTCAACCTGTCTAGAAAAGAGTTTGAAATATAGTTTCCATAAATCGAATAAGAGTATAGTAAAAACGACAAATCGCAACGCCTGGCCCCCGTGATGCTTGAAAGCTGCTAAAGCGGATATAAGACCATGTACATTTTACACAAGTAATCCAACTTTTTTCATCACTTTTTTGTGCAAATCCCATCATTTTGTAAACCTCAAAATCAAATCCTCATCCGCACACCGAACATCAGATCTCGTCGTAAAACCGTCAGCACTCGAAAGCATTAGACCAGGCTTATTCCTCGTCAGACTCTTCTTCGGAAACCTATCATTACTGTTAGTCATCACAACTCAAGATATCAATAGAGAGCTAGGATCTCGTCTTACCCCTTCGTGGAAATCCCGACCCTCCTTGGTGCCCTTGATAACACCAACGCGAATGCAGAAGTCACCAAACCTCTCGCCAGTCTCTCTCTCAGTCGCGTATCTCTTGAGCAGCGGCTTCATGATGGCCAAGATCTCGTCCTCCTTGATGCTCTGGCGGTACAGCTTGTTCAGTCTCTGGCCGTGGTAACCACCACCGAGGTACATGTTGTACGCGCCGTACGCCTTTCCGACAAAGGCAACCTCGGCGAGCCAGGGACGCGCGCAACCGTTGGGGCAACCTGTCATGCGCATGACGATAGAGTCCTGACGCAGACCGTTCTCCTCGAGGCAGTCCTCGAGCTTGGTGATCAGTACAGGCAGGTAGCGCTCCGACTCGGCCATGGCGAGACCGCAAGTAGGGAAGGCGACACAGGCCGACGAGCTGAGGCGCATGCCGGAGAAGTGGACGTTGTCGAGCTTGTACTTCTTCATGAGGTCCTTGATGGAGTCGAGGTCCTCGTCGGCGACGTTGCTGAGAATTAAGTGCTGGTTACCCGTGAGGCGGAATTCGCCCTTGTGCACCTTGGCAATCTCACGGAGACCAGTCTTCATCTGGAACTCGGGAGTATCCTCGATGCGGCCGTTCTCAATGAAGAAGGTGAAGTGGTTGAGTCCTGTCTCGTCCTTTTGCCAGCCGAACGTGTCAACGTTGGACTTGAACTCGAAGGGCTTCTCCTTCTCGAACTTCTGTCCCCAAAGCTCCTCGACCTTGCCGCGGAAGACGTCGACGCCCATGTCGTCAATGGTGTACTTGAGACGGGCGTGCTTGCGGTTCTTGCGGTCGCCGTGGTCGCGCTGGACGAGCATGATCTTCTCGCAAGCAATGTGGACCTGGTCCGTCTTGACGAAGCCGAACATGCGACCGATCTGGGGGTACGTCTTCTTGTTGTTGTGCGTGGCACCCATACCACCACCGGCAATGAGGTTGAAACCCTCGAGGTTACCATCCTTGCCCTTAATGGCAATGAGACCAATGTCATGAGCGTAGACGTCGGTGTCGTTGTGGGGAGGAATGGCAATGGTGATCTTGAACTTTCTGGGCAGGTAGGTGGGTCCGTACAGAGGCTCAAAGTCCTGTACCGCGTCACCGGCGATCTGGGTCTTCGTGTCGTTCTCATCGGCGAGCCAGATCTCGTGGTAGGCGGTGGTCGAAGGCAGCAGGTGGTCGCTGATCTTCTTGGAGCTGGCCCAGACCTCCCTGTGGTACTTGGACTGGGTAGGCAGAGAACTGCACATGACGTTACGGTTGACATCACCGCAAGCGGCGATGGTGGTCATGAGCGCTCTGTTGATGGCCTGCATGGCGGGTCTAAGCTTACCCTTGACGACACCGTGGAACTGGAAGGTCTGACGGGTGGTGAGTTTCATGGTCTCGTTACCGAGCTCGTTGGCGATGTCGTCCATCTGCACCCACTGCAAGGGGGTAGAGATACCACCAGGCAGACGGCAACGGATCATGAAGGAGTAGGCGGGCTCCAAGCCCATGGCCTTGCGCTCATCTCTGACGTCACGGTCGTCCTGCATGTAGGTACCGTGGAACTTGGTTAGTTGCTGGTCAGCGGCAGAGATGGCAGCAGTCGAGGGGTCGTTGAGACCCTCGACAATGGTACCACGGAGGAAGTTGGAGGCAATCTTAATGTCCTCGTTGGTAATGGGAGCAGGCTCCTCGGGAAGACCATCGACGTTGTCGACGCCCAAGGCGCGCCAGATCTTGGGCTCCCACTCCTGGTAGCCAGTCTGGTATCCATCGGGGTCCTGGTCGTCACCAAGACCGACGTCAGCAAGTCTCTTGCCACCGAGGTTGGACAGAACACGGTCAAGGTCCTTTGCAGGCTTGTTGTAGTAGATCTTGTCCTCCTTGCGGGGCCAGTAGTGACGATCACCGAGACCGAATACGGAGTAGTTGACGTTGGCGAGGTCGAGCTCGGTGTTGTCCTTGAGGGCGGTCCAGAGAGCGTGACCGTTCTGGGGGAACTCTCCCTGTCCGGCGGTCGAGGTCACGAAGATGATGTTCTCCTCAGAAGGCAAGTCCTCAAGGGGGTAGTCCTCCATGACGAAGACCTTGGTCTTAAGACCACGAGCCTTGCCGCGGTTACCGAGACGCTTGGCAACGTTGGTAGCGTTACCGTTGTCAGAGGCGTACAACACGGTCAAGGGAGCGCCAAAGAGACCCTCAAGAAGCTGGTCGTAGGCATCCTTTGCCTTGCGCTTCTGCTGAGCCCGGACCTCGGAGCCAAAGTCCTGCGACAGGTTGGCAGCGAAGACGGGGTCGCGCTGCATGATCTGGGTGAGCTGGTTGTCGCGGTCCAAAAAGGCCTTGAGCTCGCTCTTGATACGCTCAGAGTCGAGGGTGAAGTTGGGCTCGCCCTTGGCCTCGTTGGCGGGGTTCCAGCGGTACAGAGGCCAGTAGCCGACGTCAATCGCCTTCTTGGTCTCCTGGAGAACGGTGAGAGGAGAATCGGTCTCGCCAAAGTAGGGCAGGTAGGCCAAGACGACGGAGGGACCGTTGTGCTGGTCGGCCTCGAGCATGGCCTGAAGCACCTGGGTGTAGGAGCCGTAGACGGCAGTAGAGGCGACGTAAGCGTTGCCAAAGTTCATGGCGTACAGGCCAATGTCCTTCTTGCGACGGTTGGCATCGGCAGCGGCACGCTCCGAGTAGGGGGTCGAGTCGATAATGAGCATGTTGACGTTCTCGCCAGAGGCCAGGACGTGGTGCACACCAGAGTTGCCGAGATCGTAGGCCCAGGCATCGGATCCCACAAGCCACAGGGACTCCTTGCGGAACAGTCGCTTGCTGGACAATAGGTTGCGGGCAATGGAAGAGCCATCAGTCTCAAGCCGGGGGATCAAGTCGTCGGCAATCTCGTTGGCCTTCTTGGAGTCGGCCTCGTTAGCTGCCCAGCGGGCGAGCCAGCTCTTAGGAGAATCTGTCACGAACTGGTTGCTGTTGGCAGCCTCCTTGACCTCGTTGACGAAGCGCACGCGACGCTCCTTGCGAGCCAAGAGGGAACCGAAGCCGAACTCAGGGCTGGCCTGGATGGAGGAGTTGATGCCGGCATTGCTAGCCTTGAGGGCATTGGCAATGTAGGCTCTCTGGCCAAAGAGCTGGTCAAGAATCTTGGTGTACGAGTTCTCGACCTGGGGCTTCTCAAGACCGTATTCGAGAACCTCTTGGGGAACCTCCTTGCGGCCGATCTCAAGATTCTGAACAGGGGACTCGGAAGTCAGGTTCTGCAGGACGCCACGAAGAGCCTGGATGACAGTTTTGGGGTCAATGTAGCCAAGCTGGTAGCCGACAACGGTCTGCACACCACCAGGGCCGCTCTTCACACTGGTGAGAACATCGATGAGGACGGGGCCCCACTTTGTGGTCTTGCGGTGGACCTGCTCAAGGACGGCAATGCGCTTCACAGACTTGGGCAAAGCCTCGATGAGAGAGGAGCTGAGCCAGGGGCGGTACAGTCTGGGGGTGAGGATGCCGACCTTGGAGAAGTCACCTCCACGGCGGGCCTGGTCAATCACATCACCAAAGTAGTAGGCTCCAGAGCCAAAGACAAAGAGGCAGTTCTCTGCATTCGTGGGTCCGGCATAGAAGAAGGCCTGGTATTCACGGCCGGTGATCCTCTTAATCTGAGCCCAGATGCCGTTGGCATACTTGAGGATATCCTCAGACGAGACGACGGGGAGGGACGACTCGATCGTGGTGGCGTTGGAGGAGACGACAGAGGGTGGGCTGTCGGTGACGCTGTGCTCGGCGCTGGACTGGACCGAGGCCCTGGATGACTCGAGCTTGGAGTGCACGGACGATGCGAGTTCGGAAGAGCTCAGACCACTAATGGGGGAGGAGCCGGTCGGCGGCACGTCGGATCGGTCAGAGGCCACCGGCAGTCGGCCGTCATCGGCATAGATACCGACAGCCGACGCGGCAGAGCCGTTGGACGGCTGCTGGAACCGCCTCGCAGCGTCAACGTCGAGAATCTGGCGCACAACCTCAGGGTCCTCTGCCTCAATGGCAGCATCGTCGTCGCTGCTCGACGAGGCGAAGAAGTGCACAACACCCTTGCCGGAGCGGAGGGCGAGGGCATGTGCCGTCAGTGCCATATCCTGAGCCTCCTGGAGAGACTCTGACTGCAAGAAAGTCCATCCCGAGTTGCGGATAGCTGTGATGGCGGAGAAGTCGGGGAAGCCAGCGGGCTGAAGGGCGACGTGAAGGACGACGGGGTAGTTTGCCAACTTGTAGAGGTGGGAGATGGCGGGAAGGAGAACGGTAGAAGAGGTCGTTACGGCGACGAGCTTGCCGGCGCGAGTGGGCGCAAAGACGGAGAGGAGGGGGTCGGCATTGTGCCTTACGTGTTGGACCTGGGACAGTCACAGTCAGTTTCCAAGCCAAAAGATCGCGGAGAAGACGAATCGAGTAGTTGCTCACCTCTGTGACTGAAGACTTCGCGACGAGGCTCTTGTCGTTGCGAGCGACGTAGCGCTTAAGGTGGGATGAGAACTCCGAGTCCTTGGCCAGCGAAGGCTGGACGGAGACGACGACGTCGCTGGAGAGGTATGCGATTCTCGCAACTGTAGAGATGGCATGTTAGCACAAACCAGTATTGTCATCGTTCTCGTTGCAAACTGCGACTGCGACTGTTCCGCGTCTCTGGTCGGCGTCGTCCATCATCCCTCTGCCTCTTTCTCTCTGGGTGCTGCTCGTTGCCCATCATAAGTGGGTTGCCGGGGGACTCTGCACCGCTGGGATGCGACAAATAGCAGAGCTCTGATTGGCCCAATTCCAACAATGTCGGAGCTTCGCTGTAGTTACAGCGGGCACACGCGCTGAAGGATGACGGACGCTGCAGAGTGCAAGACCAGGGGTAACAGCAGCAACAGCAGCAGCAGTAGCAGCAGACGAAAGCCGTGGAACCCAAAGAATTGAAGAGAGCAACAACTGCTTACCAGCTTCTCCAGGCGTCTGGATTTGACCTCTTGTCGGCGCCATTGTCGATATGTGTGTGTGTGCGTGTTTGGAGGGGGTTTCGAGGGCGGATTTCGAAGACGGGGGTATCGTATAGTGGCCGGTCTCGAATCTCTTTTCGCTGCCGTTTGCAGTGTACAGTTCCGGATTCCTCTCGAGCTGTCTGTTTGGCTTCCTCTGGATCAGGAACCAAGAATGGACAGAATACCAACAATGAGTCGACTACAGCAGTAATGACTAACACAGATCAACCCGTAGAAAGGATTGTCGGAGAAGGGCGCCGTAGGATGCAATGGCAGATGGGAGGCGGAAGGAGGAAGAGGGTGAGAATGAGTGAGAGAGTGTGAGAGAGGAGGAAGATGGTGGTGTAAGTCAAGGTAATAAGAGGTCTAAAAGGGAAGATCGATGGATAACAAGCTGATAAAAAAAAAAGTCCAAGGTGCCCCAGGAAGTTGCGAAACAGCTCCGATGGTTCTTTCTGCTTTTGGAATCAACAGAAAGTGACCTGGCAAGTACCCAATTCCTGTTCCTTCCCTTGCTTGGTTTCGTCGTCTTTCAGTCAGGCAAGAGCAGCTGGATGGCGGGTTGCGCCTGCTGTTGCTGGCGTGCTTGGGGGGGCGTTGTGAGCCTGTGCCCACTGAGAAATTTCGCCCCGCAGAAAACAATGAATTTTGTCGACATCAGGGTCGATTGCGTGATCGGCTAGCGCAGCGTCTCCCCAGTCCATTCGCCAGTTGCCATGCCGCACTGCTCCCATTGCGCCGCGGGTTGGCTTGCCTTGGGGCAATGCCGCTGCACTTGGTGTGTGTACATTGCTCAGAAAAGGTACATCGGGATTCTTCCAGGTGGTAAAGTAGTCAAGTACCTGGAGCTGGAGGGAAAGAGCCGGGACTTCAGCGAGTGCCGTTGCCTCTTCTGTGCTCCTGTCCTGGATGCTGTATTATTCATCACGAGAGTCGTTGACGGCTACGACTATGATAGAATTGCCTTATGTAAACTTGGGAAGAAGGATACTAATGTAGACTCTGTCCTAGACTCTTAGCTCATCTGCCTACCCAATCAGCCACTCAACAACACTCTAACAAATTCCATCTCAAATGGCTGGAATCAGTGGATGGCACTTCTTGGCTAATACAGCATGAACAGGGGCAGCGAATCTGGACCCCATGCCCGAATGCCGAAAAAGGCCGTTGTCGGCCGGTAAGCCTTTCCTCTCACTCTCACTCTCACTCTCTCCCAAGGCTCAGTAAGACTCAACCAGAGGTAGAGGCAGGCAAATGCTCGGACTCGTAGCCGTGCCTCATCCCATCCATCTGGAGGCGAGTCAACTAGTGGAAACTATTCCGTACGTAGTAGACTGACATGCTGCTCCATATCCCGTTCAACTGCCCCACCATCTCCATCCCCCTCCCCCGGAGATTCTTTCGGATTACAAATGGTAGACTCTGTATTTGCAGTTTCCGCCTGTCACTCTCACACAGTTCGCTCAATGCCCGATACCCACCAATCAACCCAATGATCCCTTTGGATTCAAGATCTTGTATTACTCTGCTACTAAGTATGCTTATTATATGTATGGCTTGTATCGTATGCTCTCCCCAAATTCGGGGTTTGGAACCATAGAACGTTCGTTTTCGGTCCCACTTTAAATCCCCCATCGTGAACCGGGCACCAACCGAATGGATGCCCTCGTGACGAAACATCTCTCCCAATGACCCAAACGCCGATTCACCTTCCGTGATTGAGGGTCATCAAATGTTGTTGTACACTATTCCCCATCGCGCCCCCGACATGCATTTCGCTCATGAGTCTCCCGATCCACCTCTTTTCTGGCGCGCAGAAAATCTCAAATGATGCCATCGCCCAATGATACCACCGCCCGATGGCATCATCGACTTGCCGTCCCGGCGGTATCCACTCCAAGCGGTCAACCTGCCGCTGCCGCCCGACATGCCGCACCGACATCCATCTCTTGCCGCTTCAATAGTCAATACCTACCGGTACCGTCGGTAGCTCTCTGAATCCGCCCTTCCGCGATACTTAAAAGACTTAGACTCCGGTGTGCCGGAACTTGGCGCTCACAGCGCTCGCCCACTCCTCCTGAGGCCTCTCGCGAAGCCAGTACCCGCGACCGAGGGCGAGCATCACGCGCCCGATACGGCCGCGGGACCCCTCGCCGCCCGGCTCGCCCTGCGAGAAAGGTCCGTCGACGCCGCCCTTCTTGCCGGCGCCGCTGCTGCGGCCTTCCTCCTCCCAGCCCATGTCCGCCGCGCTGTACCGCTGCAGCACCTGCTGCGCAAACGACATGACGACGAGCGCAAAGTAGACGCGCACCAGCGTGACGGAGCAAATCAGCCCCAAGCTCATCCACGACTCCTGGGGCCCGATGTGCTTCGTCGTGCCGGGCACGTCGGGAACCACGGGCGCCCCGTTGGCCAGCGCCGTCTCCGCAATCTCCGCTGCTGCTGCGGGACCGGCTGCGGCCGGGGTGGTGCTGCCTGCCGGGTGCTTGTCCAGGGCGCTGCTGTTGAGGTACCAGTTCACGGCGAAGAAGGTCGTGTAGGCGACGTTGAGGACGGTGTCGACGATGTAGAGCCAGGCGAGGCTGAGCGTCTCAAAGGGGCTCTGCTTGCGGATGTGGGGCATGAACATGGCCAGCAGGACGACGACGCCCAGCGAGTAGAGGTACATTGACAGCTGCGTCACGGAGAGCTCGTAGCCCGTGAGGATGGCGAGTAGACCGTAGAGGCCGGTGAGCCTGTTGAAGAGGAGGATGAGGGAGATGACCTCGGTGCCTGTTTGAAGGCCGATGCATCCTAGAAAGGTCTGTCGCACACATTAAACGTGATCACCATGTTAGCCAACCGCCCAGTAATTCATCGGTTGAAGATGATGAACATGATGTTGTGTAACTATTGGGTGTAGTTGGTTGGGGAAGATGAGGTTGTGTTACATGCTAACCTTTGGGAGCGGTAACCGCATGCTGAATCTTGAGAACGCCATCCTGTCCGTCGGTCTATCTGTTCGTCCACTGTGTCTTGGTGATGTCTCGTTGGTGTTTATATGTACGGATACAGCAGGAGGGTATCCGTAGGTATCGCGCCAGAAAAGAAAGGGGTCCTGAGAGCTCAGGTAATCCGTGAAGACGTCAGAAGAACCTGAGGGTGGTAAGCTTTTGGGGAAGCGTCGCAAAAGATGAGCCTAACAAGAGGCCCCGTCACTTTTAACCAAAGCGGCAGCGCCGGATGACAATTGACATGGGCCAGCCGCCAAACAAAATAAAGAGCGGAAAGACCCTGCGTTCGCACCTTTCTAAAATCCTCGATGACATGATGGGCCCCACCCGATCCGTCATAGCGTCACGCCCCGGGGTTTTCATTGAGTCCGCGCCGCTGCTCTCCGTCACCCGCGTCTGCACCTGATGCTGCACCTCGCTCTCTGGGTCAATCTACAGCAACACCGGCTGTGAATGCACAGCTAGCTATCTACATATACGCGGTAAGGTAGGTATCCGAATCCGAAAAGTGGATGGACCTGGGAATTCGATGCCACGGATTTGCGGGCCATTCCTACGCTGGCACCACATGTTCAACGGATCCCGGCACTCGGTGACAGCCCACCGTAGCATCACGGACGCCAGCCATCGTGAGAGTCCCGTGCCATTTCGGGCGGTGAGCATCTTGGACAACTCATTCGCCAGCTGACTTTTGACACTTAATACTGCTAACGTGACGCTCACATATGAATAAGTACACTTGCATTCCATGTAGACAGACAATATTGGGGAAAGAAGAGAAAAAAGAGCCATTAAATGTAGGTATGTACTAACGACCGTGGAGTATAGCCCGTTATTATACAAACTGTAACTGATGCTGAAAATCCCCATTTGCACGCTATGCTTAAGATGTCCTGCCCCGCCAGTCATGTCGCAACGTAACGTAACGGCAACTCCAACTCAGCCCCGCGTCGTCCGTCACGACTCGCCTCGGGAACTTTCTACTCCAGAGTCGTTGTCTTTTTGTTTTGCTTTGTCTCCTTAAGAAACTCGTCTAGCACGCGCATCCCTCTTGCGATGATTGGGCGGGGGTCGTCTTGACATCGATCACTGCGTTAAAGTTAGCTTAAACCACCCTGCTTTTTATAAACCAAATCTCAAAGAGAAGGGAATACGCACTCTGGCTTGAAGCTTGCGCGGCAGCATCCGTTCCCTCCATGCCTGGAAGAGCCTGGGCTATTCTCTTGAACAGCGTCTTGACGTTGTGTCCCAGCTTCGCGCTAGTCTCGACGAACATGAGGTTGTTCTTCTTGGCCTCCTCCTCGCCCTGCTGCGTCGTCACTTCGCGCTTGTCGTTCAAATCCGTCTTGTTGCCCACGAGGACAATGATGACGTCGTTTCCTCTCTCGGCGCGCACATCGTCGATCCACTTCTTGGTGTTTTGGAAGGATTTCGCATCTTCAAATTGCCATCTAGTCAGTCACGAGTTCCCTCTTCTGTGCCTCCCCCATGCAGTTCCACGTACTTGAAATGTCGTAGACAACGACTGCGACGCTGGAATCGCGAATGTACGAGGGAATCAGACTGCGGAAACGTTCCTGTCCGGCGGTATCCCAAAGTTGTAATCTCACTGTCCGGTCCTCAAGGTACATGGTCTGCAATGTATTAGACAGTGGTTCCTCGTCCCTCGCCCGGAAATGTATCAATGGCTTGCCTTGGAAAGAAAGTCGATTCCGATGGTCGCCTGGTACATGTTGTCGAACGAATCGTACATGAATCGAGTGATGAGTGAAGTTTTCCCCACTGCAAATAACACAAAGAACTTATCAGCCAAGGGTCTCTCTCACCACATCGAACAAGACAGAATGCAGGATACATACCGCTCTGCTCGCCTAAAAAGACAAGCCTGGGGGTGTCATTGTGTTAGTTTTATTTTGCAATTGTCTGAACAGGAACATTTCGCAATCGGCGCAAATCGTACTTGAACTTCTTGAGGGGGTTGTTGTAGGACCCGCCTGCGCCGGACGCCATGGTTGCGGTTTTTTGGTCAAAGGGAAGCTTCCGAAGGGTGGTATCGGGGGGTTCGCCAGTCGGGCTACAGAACCAACACGTTGGCTCGATGCAAGGGAGTCGTCGAGTCGGCAAATAAAACCAAGCTGAAAAGCCGAGTGCTTTGCTAGATCAAAGGACCAGATCCGACGAGAGGGCGAAGTTGGGCTGGCTGGGAGGAGGAGGGGTGTGAGGGTTATAGATCGCGGGTCGTGGAAATTGAGCAAGCTGGACAAGTAAAAGGAGGTCAACCTGTCCGCCTTTAGGCGCATTACCACGCCCCCGTCATCCATTGAGGTGGGCTCAGAGGAGACTAGCAAAGACGGGGGACATCACGTGCTGATAATCGATAAGAGAGACCCCATATCCGATAAGACAAAAAAAAAAGACCCTTGCTCAAAAATTTCTGGACGGTCCAGGCCCCGCCGTCCCAGCTGGTGCAGAGTGCAGATTCGACGACCAGCAAATGGGCAAGGCGCAAAGATCGACTTTTCGACATCAGAAACACCCCCGGTGATTCTCTCCATCTTCTTTGCACCTATCTACCCAAACAACCCCTCCAAGCCCGAAGTGTGATTCGGCTACCTATCCAACATGCCCGTTCTTAAGCCCCTCTCGGGCGACGGCGAAGCTCCCCAGCAACGCAAGCAGCCCTCAAGAAAGGGAAAGAAGGCGTGGAGGAAGAACGTCGACGTCTCCGAGGTGCAAGAAGG